GCCTCAGCCCGCGCCGCCATCTTGGCCCTCGCGGTGGGCCTCTCGGCACGGCCGCTCACGCTGCGTTTCACGACGCCGACTCCGCGCGCGCGCGTTAACCCCGTCCACCAGCAGAGTAGACGGCACCGCGGAGGGGGGCGAACGCTCCGCACACGAGCAGGCGGCCTGAGCGAAACGGCACTGGGGGCCGGACAGCCCCCACCATGCCACAAAAGCGAGAAGGCACGGGAAGAGGTGCTCCACCTTACCGTGCTGCCAAAGACCCCAAGCCAAAGGACAAGGCACGCGGGGCGACCTGCAAACCAGCCTGTCCGCCGCGACGGGCGCTGGCAACAAAATGGAGCTGGCAGTTCTGAGGGACCACTTGAAAACAGCTGTGACGCCAGGAGGCGGGGCGGGCGTGCCAGCCCTGTGCGCAGGCGCGGAGCGGGCCGGTGGGTGGGCGTGTGTGCGCAGGGCGGGCCGGCGGGTGGGCGTGTGTGCGCAGGCGCAGGGCGGGCCGGTGGGTGGGCGTGTGTGCGCAGGCGCAGGGCGTGCCGGCGGGTGGGCGTGTGTGCGCAGGCGCGGGGCGGTCCGTTGGGTGGGCGTGTGTGCGCAGGCGCAGGGCGGGCCGGCGGGTGGGCGTGTGTGCGCAGGCGCAGGGCGGGCCGGTGGGTGGGCGTGTGTGGGCGGGGCGGGCCGGCGGGTGGGCGTGTGTGCGCAGGCGCAGGGCGGGCCGGCGGGTGGGCGTGTGTGCGCAGGCGCAGGGCGGGCCGGCGGGTGGGCGTGCGTTCGCGGGCGCAGGGCGGGCCCGCGAGTGGTGAAGAAGGGATGCGAAGCTTTCGGGGAATCGTGTTGGCTCTGGGTCGGTGTGGAGAGAAAAGAGGGACGATGAGTCGCCTCCTGCCCACCGAAAACCAACTTCGTGAACGTTGGAAACAGCGACAAGTGAAGGGTGTACCTTGACTGCCACCACGAAAGTTGTACCTTAAAAATAGTACATCAAATGGCCAACGTGAAAGACTTGTGAGGCTAGTCATTACAGAAGTGCAAAGCTTAAAACACTGAGGTTCCGTCTTAACTGCATGAAGGCTGGCCGTAGTTAGCAGCAAATGCTGCAGAGGCTGTGGAGGGCAAAGGGAGAAACGCTTAAACACTTGGTGGGACTGCAAACCACCACTCTGGAAAGCAGTGTGGAGATTCCTCAAAAAACTAAAACTAAGGGTCCTGGCTAGTGGCGCGAGCCTGTAATCCCACCGTCTGGGCAGGAGGCTCTGGTGAATTCTAGGCCAGCCTAGGCTCGGTAGCCACCTAGTGAGGTCAGAGCCAGCTAACTTAGGGAGACCCAGTCTAAAAAATAACCCACAGGAATTACACTTAACCTAGGTCTTTATCTTCCCAAAGAATACTCATTCATAGCACAGTTCGTAGTAGCTTGCTTAAATCTCAGAAGCAGCCTATATGTCCATCAACAAATGGGTGGTTAAGATGTGATATTTAAACATAAGGAGTTAGTACGCTGCCATAAAGGATAAATGGGAGGTGTTCCTAGAAAGTAATACTACGTTTAAATGTCGCTTGTTTTTTTTTTTGTTTGTTTTTTTGGGTTTTTTTGGTGGAACCAGAGATTGAGCTCAGGCCCTTGTGCTTGCCAGGCAAGCACTTACTCCACTGAGCTATCTCCCCAGCCCATGACTTGGTTTGTCTTGCATGAAAAACCCAAAGTAGCCAAATAGCTGGGCATGGTAGTCTATGCCTGTAATCCTGGCACTCAGGAAGCTGAGACAGAAGGATTGCTGTGAGTTTGAGGCCAACCTGGGCTACATAAGCAAGTTCAAGGCCAGCCTGAACTGCATAGTGAAACTCTTCTCAGAGAGTCCCCCCCACCCCATCCCTTTTGGAATTCAGCCATGTTGAATCAGGCCCATAATTTAGCAGATTATACTCAGGCAGGAACCTATCATCCCATCTTTTAGTTGTCATGAAGCGGAAACGACTTTCTTGGCTGCTTTCTGTTGAACAGGGGCATCGTTTTGGGGGCAGGGAGGAGTGATGGGATGATGGTTCACACTCATGTACAAGTTAGTGCCAGGTGTTTCAGCCAGGACAAGAGAATCATCATTAGTGAAGGCTCACACCTGAGATTGAAGAAACCTTGAAAAAGTTTAAAAAGGCAGGGTGCTATGAGTAGACAGATTATTATCATGATTAAAGGACCCAGAAGAGGAAGCAGGAAGGGGGCCCAAGATCCAAATGTTCCACCATGACCATGGTGAGGGGGAAAGAGTATCAGTTTCCAAGTTCCTTACATTTGTGCTCTAACCAATATGAGATCAAACAGGCTTACGAAGCTGGGTGCCCTGGGAAGTCCCCTGAGCCTAGTTAGAGCCAAGGGAAGGAGCTGAGGCCAAGGCAGAGCAGCTCCCTGGTGAGTTTGGTGAGATGGGCATTTAAAAGCCCATTTGCCTCAATTACTCCAGATCCACTGACTATTGTATATCTTGCCCTTTTTGAGTGTCTGTGTTTGTTGAGCTACTATGAGCCCTGTGTCAGTATAGGTATAACAGTATTATTGGTAGCCCTGAGATCTTGAATGAAATGGTAGGAGCCATTAGGTTTAAGTACAGGAAGAATGGCAGTATTGCACAGCAAATGGGAAGTTCTGAGAAAACCACTGATAAGGGGACCTCAAAATACAGGCTTGAGTCCCATTGGTGTTTATGGGCTATTAGGTATTAGGGAATTCTGGGGAAGGTGGTGGATCTCTGAGGCAAACTCATACAAGGGTAGCATCTGTGGAATGAGTAGGGGCTGGAAGTGCCCCAGAGTATGTGATCGACAAGGGAAGGAAGAGGGAGGAGCTGGTGGCACCTCGAGGCTGCATCTGGAAGACGAGCACCATGGGAGGGGTGAAGGAGAAGTGGAGCTTCTGGATGGTATTCTC